GAAACGTCCAGATTAAATCCTGGTTTCGACTGAAGTCCACAAATACATCAGATCTCTAATTTTATATTAAATGACCATTCGAAACATGGATACGTAGGCGACTACCATAAGGTGTCAGCCGTCATGCATACAGGCACAATAACGGCAACCCTTGATACACTTACTGAAAATAGTAACCGCTATCTTTTAAACATTAAGTGCTATATATTGGTAAATTGTCGTTCCAACAGTCAAGGATCTATATATTTTTTTTCAAAACACCAAGAAACGCGAAATATGCTCTTTGCATCCGGATAAATAGAGAAGAATCCAATGTTTAGTAAGGTGTATAGATAAATCTCCTGGCGAGCGCCGTCAAATCCCTTGGGACCTAATATGAGCATGCTGCGTTGGTTAGTCTTAGAAGTGTATTCGACTTAAAAAGGAAAGAGCGCATTTGGAAATGTTGGGAGATAATGTACCTGGCCACAGAAGGTGAAGCTGAAAATTTAGCCGCGAAAACAGAGCAAAGCAAAAACTGACTGATTTTTATGCTCACGTTGTAGTTACTTCTAGTACCTGGTATGGTTAAGGGGTCTGACTGTAACTAATATTACTTTTGGAACCATTCCATACAAACAATACCATAGTTTACTATAAGATAACAAACTTAACTAAAGCCAATGAAATTGAATAATAGACAAAAATTAACTTACTCAGCTAACCTACATTAAAGTAAATTAAACTAATATTCTTAAACTAATGAAACTAAATGATAAACAAATAAACTTATAACTAATCTAAACTAGCCTAAATAATAACCTACAACAAAATTAATATTCAGTTATGTTAGTTACTTAGTTATGCGCAGTAAACTGCAGTGTTTCTTCTAAGGAAGTCTTACCACTAAACTAAAGTTTACTTAAACTAATCAAATTAAAACACATATGTAAGGTGGGGTTCGTCTGTGGCATAGTTGTACATTGCGCTCCTTGGCTTGGACTACGAAATAAATGTGTTGGAGGACTGATATGCAGATGCACTTAGCCACTCTTGTGCATTTTATTATCCTTCATCTCCAAGGACAGACTGAGGACTAATTTGAGTTCACAACGACGGATCGTAATGCGTTGCGTCATCTATGTTTTCGCAAAGAAAATTTGAGACTAGTTGGTTAGAGACTTTTGAATGAAAAGGTAATTCACACTCCCCTTTAGAAAGATTATTCTTGCACCTCTCAACTGCGTCAGCGTAAAAACCGAACGATGACAGCATATGCTTTGCATTTACCCCCCTCGCTCCAAGTTTCTCGGAACTGAGAATACGCCAGTCTAAAAATAACTCAGAACGGGAACTGAATTCTGCAAAGGGATACGTCCAAGCTCCATAGGTAGTCCTTATCCTGATGTCAGCGTGAGTAACCTAAAACAATTCCACCATCTTTACTAAGGACTCATTGTTACCGCCGACTCTTTTAAAAACTGGCTGGTCTTCTAATGGTGTACCGGCTTTTTCTGTGTTACCATAACTACCCTTTTATGAGAGCACATTGCGTCTCTCCAGTACGTTGCGCCCAACTGTCAGCTAATTTTATGCAAATGATGGTCAAAGCTATAGCTTTTGGGAAAGAAAAACTAGAAATTGTTGTTTTTCCATTCCAAAACCTTTCCCCTTTTTGCGCAATGCACGCGGGAACGACTTTTCAGAGCAAAGCAGCGTCGTACCGCTGCTACTGTAGCAATTGTTGTTTCTGTGAAGATTAACGACCGACTATTTTAACGCACTTTTTTTCTGCTGAACTAATGCAGATAAAGGAGGTTACCTAGTAGACGACGTGAACTAATCAAAAATCGTTTTGCAATGTTCCGAACTAAGGAACACTGTCCTTGCTTTTATATAAAAATATAGACAAATGTGGCCTTTACATACTTTTACAATTGCATGTCACACCGGAGGATTAAAGCAAAGCATTACATTGGATGTTTTAATTGCAGGAAGCATAAGCATATATATAAGCATATTTGGGAAGCATTACCCACAGAGACATGCGAGTCTGGTAGGTAGCCTTACCCAAACTGAAATTTGAAAACGTCTGAGGTTTTGAACCAGCGACCTGCTTGTTAGATGGCAAACGCCCTAAAAATTGAGCAAAGGCTTGGCTGTGTTCTCGGTTGCGATCGGATAGTTGAACAGTGTTTATGGGGCGTTACGGAATATACATTTCCTGTTATATCTCAGGGCTCACTTTCGGGCTCACCACCAGCCGCACAGTGTCTACTGATATAGGGACAACGGTATTACCAACAGAGACAAATCACACTTTTTCTTCCAGCGGATAGCATCCTCAGACAGCGCTGTTCAAAACTTCCCTAATCTATCCTACCTTCACTTCGTAAGGTGCTTCAAATGCCTCTTTGAAAGTTTTTATTTCACTGGCTACTGGTGCAGTACTCGGATAGATGCAAAATGTCCATTTCCAATAGGATATTAGATGGTTTAAAAGAAGCATACCTGAAATAGCAGTCAGAAAACTGCGTAATTTGTAGAATTTGCTGAATTACGGTTGAATGCTTCGGCTTGACTTCGGTGTTATGCATGCGTGTCCTTCGTTCTCGTCATTATTGAAGTTTTTGGTCGGCTAGTTTTCCACGACCGCATTACTATTCCAGTTTTTCCGTCTGTCAACGGTATCTAAACTTAACTTTTCGTAATAAAACGGTAAAATGAGTTTTTCTATTTTTTTTATTTCAAGGGACAGTGCTCATTTCTGTTCTTTGTACTGGGGTTTTGCGTATCCATTAGAGAGGTTTCCGCATCTAACTGACTACAATAGTCTTTCTTTGTATCTATTTTCAAAATCAGTTTTTAGGGTCATCTTGAAATGACTAATTTTCATGATTTGTCGTCAAGACTTTTTGATTGGTGCCTTGGCCAGTCCATATTACTCCAGCAGATTTTCTGATTTAAAAAAGTTAATAAAGAGTAAATGGATCGAGAAGAGAATGAAGTGTCGATCGCTTGACTCATTGTTTTATTAGTCTGAGCCCTAAAAGGCAGTCCCACCTATAATTTGGCAAAATGGATGTACTCGAAAGTAAATTCCTTCAAGGCAACTTTGATGTCTCAGTCCGCTCAGCCTCCAAAATCCTGGCAGACCTCAATGGCCGAAGGATTCGATCGGACGAAGTGATGGTTCGTTTGACGTGACATAACTATTTACGTCCGATCCACTGGGTTTGGCATGAGAGGTCTTGCTCAGAAAACTTGAGGAGCTGTATGACGGAACGCAGAGTTCACTCAAAATTTAACACTTCATAAGTCTGTACGAATTTTGCCAGAAGACATACTTCCCTTTGCTGGGGCGACTTATGAACAAATCAAAGGAATTCCGATTGGCTCAACAGTTTTCGGTTTAATAGCAGAATAGGTTTCACAAGAGCTAAATAAGGTTGCCTTCACCCAACAGTCACGATTTTTTGGTAACGTTACTTTAACGACAAGTTTGTTATCTTCAAAATGAACACCTTGCAGAAGTTCCATGAGCTTGATAACTCTATCTTCCCAGATATACAGTTCACGATGCAAGAAGAAAAAGATGAACAGCTACCCTTCCTTTATTTACTCGCATGCGAACTCCCGTCTGCAAAATAGAAACAACGCTCTACACACAACACGGCGTCTCAATTTTCACAGCAACCATCCGATGGCTCAAAAACGAAGCTGCATAAAAACGCTGTTCAAAAGAATTCAGACTTACTGTAATAACCCGGAGGAAAAACACCTGAGGACCGATATTTCCGCGACCATTTTATGTGGAATGGCTATCCTAAGGCCTTCATAAGCAGATGCCTACGTACTCGCTATCCGAGGACCCAACCAGACCTAATCCTTGCGATATGGCATGTTCTGTCATACATCAAGGATGTGTCGGAAGCGACCGAGCGCATTACCGAGGGACTGGGCGTCGGAATTGCACACCATTCCAAGGCTACCATGCGCAGTCGAGTCATAAGAATCAAGGATCAATTAAACCCCAGATCATAACAGATGTACATCAGAAATGCCTTGAAACTGCGCCATCCAGAGTTTCTTCCAAATACACATGCATAATAACTCAAACATATCTAAAAACAAACTAGCATGATACACTCTCGGGCGTGATGGACGATGGACAAAGCAAACGCATGCAAATGCCGATGAGCGAATTACTGTCGAACAATAGTTTTTCATTCTCAAATAGTCATACAGATGCCTGTTTAGGGAGATTTCCTTGAAACCTCGATGACTTTAACCTTCCGAATCCCTGCCAGTTTTACAGGACAAGTTGGTTACAACTAAGGTTGCCGAATATTATGTTGCGAGCAAATGAAATTTTTCTTTTATTTGTGTTAAAATATCAAAGATAAAGTGAGAAAAGGACTGGAGAGGCATACAAACAGTTCACATGCTGGCCTCCGACCAGGCAGTGGACATGAATACATTTTAGGGTCTCCTTACACGGTCAAACATAGAGCTCTGACCATAAATCTGATGATATGTCAATTAACGCATCCAATCAGATATTGAATTGGTATCCGTTGGGCGCGCTGAAAAGCCAGTCTGTTATAATATCTATTGGTAAGTTAGATTTTTCGACGGTCACTCCGTCTCTAGATTTAATTTTCAAAGCCCATTGTACAAGTGCAACTGTTTCATTTGTGAAGGGGCAGGAAATGCAACAAGAGCATTAACACTAGTGACAGTAGAGGGCTAGTAAATCGTTTAGATAAGTTCTATGATCACCGGTTACGTTCCGGTTTCTGTTGCTGATGTCCGTTTCCCCGTCTGGAAAAAAGGGAGGAAATGAGCACTGCTTATCTGAGACAATTATGTCTTCAGATATGGGTGAGAACCAAGGCAGGCTGTGTGCCGGTTTTGAGGGGGGGACAGAGAACCAGATACAAAATATTCGTACTTCTTCGGGAATAGGACTGGCAGAAGGGTGGGCGGGAGCGAGCCGTGTCTTTTTTTGCAGAAAGACCTCAAACGATACTGTCATCGTTCCCATTGCTCATAGAAAAAATGATTTTCTCCCTCGGTGGTGCAGATATTACGCTGAATTCCTCATGCGGCAAATTCGGCGGTCTTCCCAGTGTTTGCTGACCAAGGAAATTCGGCAGAGGTGGCATAGTCTCGATATATTTCATTTCCTCCGTGTTCTGCATGCGTTTATGCCGATATATGTGCCATAGTTCGCAGGCAAGGTCGCCAGCTATAATGTCACCGACGTTCATGGATATCAGACGGATAAGAAAGACGCCGTCTGGACGAAGAAAGTTCTCCACAAATTTTTGTGATGCGGCCTTATCTGTGTCCTTCAGTACTGCCATGATTTTAAGGAACTTTCGAATAAATTTCAGGCGATAGCGTGCAAAGCCCATCCGCAGAAACCAGTTGAAGAAACTGAAGAGCGTAATTATACCGATTATGCAGTGCCAAAACCAGAGGAAGACGAAAATCTTTTCCAGAAACATGTTCAATGGCAGAACGCACTGGATTGTATATCTAAAATTGAGAAAGATAAGCATTTATTGAAGCTTTATATGGTATTAAGAAATGAAAAGATAGTTAGTATTCGAGGTTGACTTTAGTAAACGAGAATAAGTACTTCTCACGCATGGCTTGTTCTAACTCGAGTCACTTTAGACAGGTACCCTGGGTTCATAAAAGTCCAACAAATGCTAGCGCAAGTTGTTAACAAATCAAATGCTCTATCTGGAAGTCGCTCAAGTAACGAAAATCTACGACTCAGCTCCGTAAGAGGCCAGTTCACTAAAGACACCTGCTGTCCTCTGTAATGGGGCATTAAAGAAAACGAGATTTTCTACATTATAGACAAAAATGCGGATTATCAAACATAAGACTTTTGGATGATTATATGCTTTTATATATCAGTGGATGTTAGCGACATGCCAGAAAAATGTTCTGCCTTACTTTTGAGGGCCTTTCAGCTAGGATGACTTTTCTATTATTTGTAAAGGTTATGCATTTTAAAACAGACATTTGTGAGCTGTATGAAAAATGTATAGTTTTATGTACGACTTTTGCACAAACATGGTTGTGCTAACTGGTTACGTTGACAACAGTCTGGAGGCTTCTTTTTTTTAAAATATAACAGAGGGTTTACTTCATCACAATGTACTTATTTACTAGGCTTAAGGGCAAAAAACTGACCGTGGGCTTTTTTTTGATATCTCATAAATGCCTTCTCATAATTTAAATTTTGAATTCCTTTCAAAGGCGTGTCAGACACTTATTTACAGCCAGAGTTTTTAACTATGGTTAAAAACTAGTCTTTGTGCAGAAATACTATTCACTTGAATGATTTTTCCACATACATGAAAATTTGATCAAGCTAACAGAAGTTTTTCTAACAATTTCTTGCTTAGGGAAACCTGCATATAAACCGCGCGTTTTAGCCCACTGTTAATATTTAATTAATAAGGAATGAAGAAAAGTTACGCGCGAAACCACATGGTTCACTGACAGGAACTGTGACCTATGCGTTCTGGTATAACATGTACAAACTTTAATAGCAATATTAACTAAAATAGGACACATAAAATGCCTATCCTTATTCTTCTTGGCATTTGAGTCCTCAATTTATGTGGTGCGACTATGCAAAACGGTTTGCTTTTTAAATATATTTATTATACATTACATTACATTGTGCACTGTTTTAAAAGTAAGAAGAATAGCCGAATTTTTTATCGCTTGTCTTAATATACGGTTACTTGAGTATCAATGTGTTCTTTGGACTTTACAACCAAACCCATATATAGCAAAAGAGATCACCTTCGTACCCACGGAAAGGATGTTTTTGGTAACCACACAGTACATTATTTTAAGAACATATAATTATATATCTGATATGGTTACAAGGGACTACGACAGAAATGTATCCCGTAGCAGCATCGAAGACCTC